GAACCCCTCTCCACTGAAACTCCATAGAGCTTGAAGGAGCAAACATGAACAGGGTCCACAAAAAGGCTTCCAAAATTACAGTGAGTTTTCCTGCCTCTTTTCTGTGGCAGTGGAAGATCCTCCCTGCCTGTTAGTGCCAGGATATAGCAGCAGCTGGCCTCCATAACAGTGAACCAGAGACTATGCTCTCCCTTGCATTTGGTTCCGCAGGGTGGCAAGGAGTACTTGATGCGAGCCCACTTTGGGCTGCCCAGTGTTGAGAATGAGGAACTGGAGGGACGGCCACCTATCTTGGTCCGGTTTGAGATCCCCTACTTTACGGTCTCTGGAATTCAGGTGAGCTAGATTTGATTGGAGATGAAGATGTGGGAGTGATTGCACTGAGTGAGAATTGGCTTTACTGAGGGGGAGCAGAGCAAGACACACTTCAAACTGTGCCTGAATACACTGCTGGAAAGTGTTTTTGCACTTATTCAAGTTGTTCATAACAAATGGTAGGGGTGGGGGTAGGGGTAAGGGGTGGGGGTAGGGTTTCCACAGTTGCTTGCCACTGGTTGCTACATAAATATTGGCTGTATTCACACTTAATGACAAGCCATGGCAGAAGCGTGGTGAAACATAGTACCTTTGGTTACCATGATCACCACACAGAACTAACACTTTGTTCGAAGGCTTCCACATTTCCACATTGCTTCTTGTTATGTGTGAAGCTGGTTACAATGTTTTGCTATGGTTTTCCTGTTTCAGTCAGCAAGTTCAGTGGCAAGAGCGGCCGTGGCCTCTCCTGGCGCCATTTTTCACTGCCCTGTTGGCCCAGCAATGGCTGGACTGCTGATGGACAGGGCACTGATTGGCTGCCCCTGCCCTCCCTCACAGCATACACTCCCCATTGCCCGGCCACCCACACGTCTGCTGCATGGCCATGCCTGCCACACAGCTCATCTCCTAACTATCGTTATTTGTTTTTCGGCGCCAGGCAAAGACCTTTTTATTTAAGCAGCATTTTAAATGTTAATATTATTGAATTTTATTTGGCCAGGGCGGCTTATTTTATTCTACTGTATATATTTTAATTGTTATTGTTTTAATTTATTGTGTATTTTATTAGATGTTGTAAGCCGCCCCGAGGCTTCGGCAAGGGGCGGCATAGAAATGTTTAAATAAATAAATAAATAAATAAATATCTGCTGCCTGACCAAGCACTAAGATACCCGTCTTGCCTGCCTGCCATGGCTGCATGCAAGTTGCACTGTCTCTTCTTGTGTGAGGGGACAATGTGACTTTTTACACGAGGCCGCACCAGGGGGGCAAGGTGGGCATCTCAGCAGTCCAGTCAGACGGTGGCTAGGTGACAGTCCAGCCAGACATCAGAGCGCATGTGCCGGGAGGGAAGACAAGAAGCAGTGACTGCAGGGGCAGCCATGCTACTCTGAGCAGATGTGGCCTCCATGGAGTGGCAGACAAAACAAAGTGACAGCTGGCTAAGGGGAGCATGTGGGCCCTTGGCACAGATGCGGGCGATGCAGGCAGGAGCAGTATATACGTTGGGACTGGTTCCCCGCTGTGGGGTCTGATGGGATATATGTCACCATTTGGAGGGAAGATGGAGGCACACAGAAACTACTCCTGAGTAGGCACCTCATGAGTATGAGAACATAGGACACAAGGTAAGAAAGGTAAGTGTGCAATAACCATTCACATCATGTGTGACCAGCCCCGTTTAGTGCCTTACAATGCAAATAACTGGCTGCTGAAAGAAGGCTGGTGGGACTGTCTCCTTTGCTGTCATTTTCTCTCTTGTGGTTCCATTCCAATCCAGGTGCGATACATGAAGATCATTGAGAAGAGTGGTTACCAGGCTCTACCATGGGTTCGTTATATCACCCAGAGTGGGGGTAAGTTGTCAAGGCTTTGAGGAAGTTCAAATGGGGTGTGTGGCTACTGACTTTCTTTTTCAGCCTTAAAATTGGTACCTAACAGCCTCTATTGCGGCACCTAAGAGAAGTAAGCCAAGTTATGGAAAAATATATCCTTTGCTTCCCTGGAATGTATATGAATACAAGTGGTTGGGTAACCCATTCCACCGTCGCTTGGAGAAAAACTTGGAGATCTGAGAAGGTCCACTCAGAGATTTCCTTCCACAAAGTACACCTCCCACCCCAACACACACATGTGCTCACACAGAGGACTTCTGCAAAGGAAAGGGAAAGAAATGATAGGGCAATCCTGCAGTCTGGCTTCTCTAGAGCCAAAGTCAGTGAAGAAGTTCAAAATTGTGGCCAAAGTCCCTAGAACCAAGTGTTTAAGAAATGATACCCTGGCTCTGGCTGCTTGAGGGAGAAAGCTTGGCTGGAGTTGCTCCCACGTTTTACTTTGGGTTCAAGAGCCCTCAGGCTTTACTAGTATGTGTGCTTTCTCCTTATCTAGCCTTTCCCCTCATCATCTAGCGTGCCAATGTGATGCCATCCTGTTGCCCACACTTGCCTGAAGGGACCATGCAAAGGGTTCGTGGTTCCCATGGCCCATGCTTTCCCTTTTCTGCAATTAGGCCAGTGCACTTATTGCTTTGCCTTGGCCCCATAGAGACTGCTCCCTGTTTTCAAGTGTGCAGCCCCCTCCCATGCAGTTCAACTTGCATAATGCTCCCTGTTACACACCATTATGACTCAGCTTAGCTATGTCACTGGTATGCTATTCAGGCTGGCCTGAGACACTTGGCTACTTGAGCAAAGGGATAAGGTGACATTCTGCCTCTTGGCATACAGAAGCAAACTAGACTGGAAGCTGGATTTTATTTCAGCTGAACAGGCCCAAAATTGAGAGCAACAGGCTAGTTTAGTGGGTGTAAGACATGTTGCATAGCGCACATAGTTATGTTCCCAACAGAGGGGAATGGCTGGGGGATTGATGCCAGTCCTCAGCCCATGCTGCTCCAGGCAGTCACCTCGCTCTGCTAAACAGCCAGCCCTGTATGCTACTGCAGCCTTTCTCTTCTGGTCAAATTATTCTTCCTTTGGAGCAAACTGCTTGGTTCAGACTTAGGATGGACCCTAGTGGACCATTGTGCAGCAATAGCCAATGTAACCAAGTGGGCCCTGTGTTCAAGTCCCAGTGCACTGATGGATTCCTGTAACATAGTTTCAATCTCAGCCACTGCCTGTGTGAAATGGGAAGAATGAACTGGCTAGAACTGCTTTAAGGACTATTTATTTATTTATTTATTTATTTATTAAAACATTTCTATGCCGCCCCATCCACCGAAGCCTCGGGGCGGCTCACAACATGAAGTAAAATACAAAAATAACAATATAAAATAAGTAACAATATAAAATAAGTCACTGAAGTGCATTGCTGAGGTCCATATAAGAACAAAATGGTGGTCTAACTACCCCTTTCCAGCCAAGGACTTTGGACTTTTGAAGGTCTCCCATCTAGCTGAGTCTAGTATTCCATTTCCACATTCTTATTTTAAAATTAAATAAGAACTAGGAGAGTACTAGGAGCTGTATGATCCTTATGTAGCATTAAAAATCCCCATATCAAATCAGACTAAAGGTTCAAGCATTCTGTTTTTGGATGCAATGCTTAAGACACTGCTGTCCTAAACACAGAAGCTGTCATTCAGCTATCGTGGCTGGTAACATCCAAAAGCCTTGCCCTTCAGGAATCACGAATCAATTTCTTTAAGTTGTCAGAGCTGGAGGTCAGCATCAGCATGACCTCCAGTGCCAGTAAAACAAGGGTACAAAACTGAGGCACAATCAGAATTCCAGCGAGGCCCCTGTGATTCCCCAGTTGACCACACCCTTTCTTCAGTCACCCCAATGGCTTTTGCACATCTTCTGATTCTGAAAGGATGAAATTCCTCTCCAAAGGCTTAGCTACTAGCATGAAGAACTGTAAGCAAAAATATGCTGATATTTTGATATTTGGGCTCCACCCACAACTGGATTCAACTCTAAGAGCTTCCCAAAAATTGAGTACAATCTTCGGGGTGAAGGAAGTTCAAGACCCTACCTTTCAGAGATGCAATCCTTATTGTTCTTAAGCAAAGCTTGTTCTTTGATGTGCTTGACAATTCTAGCCTTAATAAAACTTCCCATCAATTTACTCAAGATAGATATGAGACTGGCAGGTGACTTGGATCTCCTCATCCTTGGAAACAACTTTTTTTTAAAATTTGGTGCATGACTGGCCACTCTCTAGCCTGCATTTAAAAGTCTTTAACTACATGCCAACTCTGTGTAGAAGATCATCCCGTTTCAGGAACAGATATTTTGGGGACAAGAGAGAACAATTCCAAAATTGTTCCTTCTCCCATTCTGCATATTCAGTTTTGTCCATTTGGATTTTCTGATCAAATGGCAACCCAGTCTTAACATATTGTATGGCTTTTGTTCCAGATTACCAACTCCGGACACAATAATCTTGCAGTCCAGCAGACTCAGACACCCTCAAGAATGAAGAAGTCTGGATGTCCATAACCATGAGAGCTGTAACCATGGCTCTCTGAAGCATATTGTATGCATGTATGTGTCATTCTTCTAAAATGCTCCTCCGTTCATTTCTCTGCCCATTTGCAGCATGATTTGGTAACAGTTCTTAGACTACTTTGTCCAGTACTTGAAGGAGAAATTGTGGCTCCATCTGAGGTAGTATTTGGATCTGAGGTAGTATTTGTACTGCTTTTCAGCCAGCAATGGCAGTAGCTCTGTTCCGATGACATGTCAAAATGTTATGTCTTGCCTTGTGGCTGAGGTTTCCAGGACCGGTCTCCAGAACCTCTCCCCTTTAGAGAATCCCACAGAAGAGGTGTGAGGAGCCTGTCTCCCTCCAGATGTTGTTGGACTGCATTTCCCATCAGTCCTGACCACTAGTCATGCTGGCTGGGGCTAAAAGGAGTTGGAATCCAGCAACATTTGGTGGGTAAAAAACAAGAGGGCACAACCAGTGGCATTTGCATGCTTTCAACATTTAATTTAGGAGTCTAAATTAGGGGTGGACAGGGAAATCAGTTCTGCCTCACTTGCACATGGCAAATAGGATTCAGTCTAACCTGAAAGGCAATCACAGTTCTCCACAGCTGCATGACTTCTTGTTGTGTGCTGCCTGGACTGGAGAATGGACTAGGGGAGCAGACAGAGCACAGCCCACAGATGCATGAAAGCTGGAACTAGTGGCCCTTTCCCCCTTGCTTATTTGTAATGTGAGAAGAGCAGGTGCTACCTCTTGTTGTAAAGATATGTCATTCTGCTGTTTTCCTTGTCCTTGGGCCATAGTGAGCTATACATGTAAGTGAAATAAATTGATTTCAGTGTGGCGACTATCCTGGTGTGTGCTGTTACTCCCATTCCCCTTTGTTATGCCCCCTCTTCCTTCCAGTTAAACCCTGTTCTGATCAGAGAACGAGCAGAGTTGCTTACTCTTGCCCCACCCCCACGGATCCTCCCTGGAGACACGTGGGTATGAATGCATTTGTTCCTGTCAAGAAACCTCTTTTAAAGGGAACAGAGTTTTGATGGGCAGCTGGTTCCATTTAAGGGTGGGGGGGACTTATATTTTTCCAGGCTTTCACAATATGTGGCCTACTGTCACAAATGTCTGCTGGCAAAAATTTCAAAATACTATTTTGAGAGAAGTGTACAAAATTCAGGAAGCTTGTTGTGCTCCCAAGAACACCCAAAGGACAACATGTGTCCATTTTGAAAATTAGGAGCTGCTTCCTTGTGGAACAATCTCAATTCTGGCCATATCTTGAGGGAGAGTAGTGCAAGGGAAAGCAGAAGCTGTTGCATGCAGTTGAGCAATCCAGACAATTTTGTACCCTGCATTCTCAAGGATAATTTTTTTCACACACATCCTTTGAGAATTGCTAGTAGGGAGTTACTGGTTCAACTTGACAACCCATTGTGGGTGACAAGCCATGATGGTTATAAGGTCCTTGAAACCTGGACTGATTTTCATAGGGTGGCTTGTTTGAGGGGAAATGACAGTGCATAACTTGTCTTACTTAGCTTCTATAGCCCAAAGACTCTTTGGGCCATTTACATCATTCTCCTGCTCTCAACCTTATTTCCATGGCAACAGCTCTGTGAGGTGGGTTGGGCTGAGAGTCTGTGACTGGCCCAAAGTCACCCAGTTGGCTCCATGGCTGAGAGGGACTAGAACCCAGAGGGACTAGAGTCCCAGTCCTGCATTCTTAACTGGCTCTCTTAATGGTTGTGTTCACAATGGGTTGCCACATTGTCTAAATTCAGGTGATCATGAGTACTAGGAACCAACGATTAACTCACTGGCAAGAGCAGCAAAAAGTGGCCCTTTAGGGTCAGTGACAGTAAATGGATGCTTCCCCCGACCCCAAATGATTCTTTTGGCTCACTACAGCTTTTATGACATGTAGATCTACTTTTCATTGCCATCAGGTAAGGATGTGCTATCAGGGATTCCTCGTTCCCCTGGCCAACTGGGTAAAACCCTGCCCAGAAATTCCCTTGTCCCTCAATCCCTAAAACAGTCACTGGAATAAGCACACGACATCCCAAGCTTGGAGAACAAATAAGTTTATTTAAAAGGATAAAATATAGAGGAGGAGGGTACTAAAACATACAGATTAAAAGGATAAAATAAGGTAAAATGTGGGAGGAGGAAAGGAAAGTTGGACAGCAGCAACAATACAGTTTATAGTCAACCAAGAAAACCTAACTACCAGGATCCTGTTGGCCCACGTGGAAAGAAAATAACAAAGCTAGTCCTAGTCTGAACTATACACATAAATTCTATCTGCAAGAGGCAAAGGATGCATAGGACTTCATAACATTTTTCAGCACAGAAAATCTGCAGCAGAATGGAACCTCCCAAAGGCTCTCTTTTCCAGGGATTTAAATCATCCCCCCTCTGTAGCCTGGGTCAGCTGACCGACCCATAGGGTGATGGCCCATCTCCTAGTCCTTGGGGCCAGCCATTTACTCCAGGTGGCTGTTGTTAGGCAGTCATTGCTGTTTTCTCCAGTGTCCATGAGGTCATAATTTCTGATAACTCCCAAAAATACTTCACAAAGGGAGGAGAATAACTTCCAAAAGTCTTGGGCAACAGATTCCTGCTAAGCTGGCACCTGGATTTACAACATTTTACCAGTTACAGTATTAACCCTTCCCTTTTTCTTGGGAGCCCAAGAGCGGGTTCACATTACGGGCCTCTGTACATAATTAAATTAAAAAATAGTAATAATCTAGGAGACTCCTGCGAGTCCCTTGGACCGCAAGGCGATCCAACCGGTCAGTCCTAGAGATCAACTCTGACTGCTCTTTAGAAGGCCAGATACTGAAGGTGAAACTCAAATACTTTGGTCACCTAATGAGAAGGAAGGACTCCCTGGAGAAGAGCCTAATGCTGGGAACAATAGATGGCAAAAGAAGGGGATGGCAGAGAATGAGATGGCTAGATGGAGTCACTGAAGCAGTTGGTGTGAGCTTAAGTGGACTCTGGGGGATGGTGGAGGACAGGAAGGCCTGGAGGAATGTTGTCCATGGGGTCGTGATGGGTCAGACACGACTTTGCGACTAACAACAACAGTCAAAGGGAACGCAGAATCTGGATTATTATTTAGTAAAAACATTTATATCCAGTCCATCACTGGGGTCTCAGGAAAGATTATCCAAGTCCAAATCAAAAACTTTCAATGCTATGACACTTTTGCTCTCAATTATAATACTTTTGAAAATAATGCACTTCACAGCTAATTCAGCCATATGCAGACAGCATCTTATGCTGATGTGGAGGTGTAGTCTATAACTCTTCCCAGCAAATTCCTCCAAGGGAGACAGAAAACAAAGGTCATGGTTGAGGGCAGCCATCTCCAAGATGGTGCCCTCCAGAGGTGTTGGGACTACAACTTCCATCATTTCCAGCCAGCATCCAGGTTTGGGAAGGACTCGTTGAGTGACAGAGAACAGAGTTTGGTTCCTAAAAGAATATTGGTAACCCCGTTGTAGCTCTAGTAGCCTGGAGTTCTTGGGGAGCAAATACATCACAGGACAGGTGTTTGGCTCACTTATATTATGGTCCTCTTTAGGAACTACTGTAATCCACCCAGGGAGCTTCAGCTGTCCCACGGTATAGAAGTTAAATAAACAAATGTGTTCAAAAGCAGAAATATCTGCTTTTGTTTGTAAATAGCAAGCAAGGCGGCCGGAGAACCTGAGACTACAAGCAGACCCTTCGATCCTGGCAAACGCCCGTTACCCGAGTTGGTCATAATGGGTTCAACGACTTAATGAGTTCCTCCATAGGACTGACTTTTTAAAAAAGCGTGCCTCGGGCCGGGATGAGCACTCACGTATCGCTCCAGGACAGACGAGGATAGTGACTTTCAGAAAGTCAGTCGATCTGTCCCCCTCAAGAAAGACGCCACCGCCGCGCCTCTCCTTCCAGTCCCTTCTCCTCCCAGGTCGCGACCTCTTACTCGCCCTTGCCTGGTGGGGAGGGGAGGAACACGAGTGAGTCTCTTCCCGCCCGAACCTGCGTTTGAATCGCTGAGACCCGCCTCGTATGCCGTACCTAGACGACCAATGAGGAGGCGGAAGAAGCCGGCTCCTACCCGGAGCTGGCCTCCCATTGGCCATGCCTGGGGAAGAGGGTGGGGTGGACGGAGCTAAACAGGTTACAATGTATCCAACTCGAAAGCGCAGATGAAAATAAAAAAACAACAAACAGCGCCCCGGCACGTGGGGGCGGGGCCAGCGGAAGGCTGCCACTCCGGTTAAGCGAGAGTGCGGTGGGTGGGGCGGGCTGGCGCTGTCTTTGCCGGCTGTTCGGACCGAAGGACAGGCAGATCGGTAGGCGGCCTGCCGCCGCCCTCATCGGCTTTCCTGAGCTCAGTAGCAGCCCCGCCCCGAACGAGGCGAGCCCCCAACGGCACCGCCCTTGCCTTCTCTTGGCATTCCATCAGCATCTACATCGAGCTGTCCGGCGGCTGCTCCTTGACCGCGACTCTGAGCCGGGCGAGCCCCGCCCCGGCAGCAGAGGCGACCCGAGCGAGCAAGAGCAATTGCGCTGCGAGAGGCGGCGGCGGCGGCGGCGGCGGCCGCGAACGAGACGCCTGTTGGTTCGTCGGCCGGCCGGCCGGCCGCTATCCCACTTGACAAGTGTTGGGAGAAGAGTCTGTGCTCCCGGGGTGGAGGTAAGCATTGAAGAGGGAGCTCCTCGCTTAAAGGAAGACCGCCGTCACCATCACATCGGGCAGAGGAGTGAGGCTCACTTCATGCCGGCCGGCCGGCATACTCACAAGCAACGATTGGCGAAGTCGCGGATGATTAGATTAAAAGGGGGGGTCTGGGCGTGTGCAGAATGCTTCCCTGCACCATTAAGCTAGAGAGGAGGATCAGCAGGAGGTCTAAGTTTGGGCTGTCACGTATAGATGGGAGAGGGAGGCGGGTCCTTCTCTGGTAGACGTCGGTTTTGTCCCGGTTGACTCTTAGCCGCCCCACTCTCCTTCAGGACAGCCATCTGAGTGGGATGGTGTAATTGATGTCCCGTAACAACAGGGGGTTGGACTCGATGGCCTTCAGGGCCCTTTCCAGCTCTGCTATTCTATGATTCTAGGTGTCGGCGCGGGCATGCTGCCGGGCAACGCCGAGATCCGCGCCGGCGACCAGCTAACCGGGGCTGCCGCCCGGGGAGACATTGCCGAGGTGCGGCGCCTCCTGCACGAGGAGTTGGTGCATCCCGACTCGCACAACCGCTTCGGCAAGACCGCGCTGCAGGTAGGCAGCCCGCGGATATCTCCTGGCCAAAGAGAAAACACAGTCTCGCCTCTCTCGGCCGAATCCCGAAGGCGAGAGCCTGCCTGCTGTTTCTGTCCGCTGCCTCTTTCCCGGCGCTCAGATTCCCAACCCGTGTTAGGTCAGAGGCCTGGTCTCAGATATGAGGCATCATGTCAACTAGGATAATCTCTGAATGCCTGCCGTGCAGTCCGTGTAGATTAGGGGACATGAGACTTAGACCAGCTTGGGCGGGATTAGACAGCAGTACTCCTTTGGCCACCCCATCCTAACAGACAGCTCTCCTTGCTCCGAACTTGCAGGATGTTTGGCTTCAAACATCTTGGTCACCTTGCACTTGGAGCAGTGGATCTCCTCATTTACATTCTTTCTTCTGACTCATATTTTCATCTATGCAGGGAAATTTCACCCAAGACAAATATAAAAAACTGCTTTTTGTAAGCAGCATGCAGGCATAGATCATACAGGCTGCCCCTCTTTCCTGCTGGGGCCATGTCAAGTAGGGTCACACAAGGGGCACAGAATGAGTTGATTAGTATGGGGGGAAAGGAGAGGCAAAACTTGCATTGTAAGTCAAGCAGCCCCATCAGTTCAGGCCTCATTTGAGCTGCTTATACCACCTTTCCCCAGCCTGGTGTCCACCAGATGCCTGGGACAGGAACTTCTATGATTTCCAACACATCTAGAGGTCCATGCTGGTTGGGAATGATGGGAATTGCAGTTAGAAAATGTGTTGTTCTGACTAGAGTCTATGAATATGGTATCTGCTGGATTGTAGCCTTTTCTGCTTCCCCTTCTGACCGGAAAATGGATTTCAGTGTTATCTGCCTACCCTACTGTAGACATCCCCTTCCTCATCACTCTTTGACCCTTTTGTCTTCCCCTAGGTAATGATGTTTGGTAACATCTTTGTGGCTCAGGAGCTGCTGAAGCAAGGTGCTAATCCTAACATCCAAGATGAATCAGGCACAGTGCCTGCCCACGATGCTGCCCGCACAGGCTTCCTTGACACCCTGAAAATCTTGGTGGATCATGGCGCTGATGTCAACATCCCAGATGCCTCTGGCTCTCTGCCCCTCCATGTTGCTATTTGGGAAGGCCACAGTGATGTGGTCTGCTTCTTGGCACCTCAATCAAAGTTGCAGCACCAGGACTCTGAGGGGCGGACACCATTGGAGCTCGCACAACAGCTGGGGCTTTCAGACATCCAGAGCATCCTGGAACAGCACCTCTCTGTCCCAGCTTAGCCTAAGGGGGGCATCTTGCCCAGGCTAAAAGGGAGCAGGAGCAGCACTGAGGCAGCTCCTTTCTGTATATTTCACCCCCACCCTCATTCCCAGAGATTTTCCCTTTCTTGCCAGGGCCCTGGAACAAAGGCAGCTCCTCCTGCCCTACCTCAGAGTGTGAGTTGAATTAATTTTGCTGTTGTTTCTATTTATATGTATTTTATGAATTCTCTTCTTTGCTTCTGCTCTCCAGTTTTTCCTAACCTTGGCAGTTTCTTGGGAGCCAGAAGGCCCTTGTGGTGGAGGACTCATGCATATATCCTCCTTGACTCTGCTTCATCTTAAACAGAGAATGGTGTACTTAAACACTCCACTGGCATAAGCATCTCCTTAGGAGAATGTGGGAAAATCTCACATTGCTGGCTGGGACCTTCTCACCCCTTCCTTCTGGCACAAAGAATCCCAGCCCTCTTCAGGAACACTTGGTGTTTTGCTATGAGGAATCCCTCTGCACCTTGTTCCATTCCACATTTCCTATGGAAGATTATATTACAATTCTCCAATGGATTTTACTCTGTGTACAGGTAGGGATGTCAAGGTGCGTGGGCTGGTTACTGTACCTGGCATTGGGGGCTAGGCAGATTTGCTGTGACATAATTGTACATTTGTGGATTGAATTGTTGGCTATGCTTTCCTTGTGGAGCATGGGATGCAAGATCTGTAACCTCTTATGCACAGGATACTGTTTCTACTAGGATCCACATCAAGCCTTCTTCTAGGATTGATGAGGATCTTATGATCTTTAAGCCATTTCCACTGTGGCCTTTTGGTAGTTAAGACTCCTGCTGTTCATATATGCATTCAAACACTGCTTAGTCTGTTATCTTTGACTAAAATGTTTTAAGATTTGTTCTGGCAGCTTATTCCCTTTAATGAATTTGTGGGTCTGAGCTGTGTATAGTAGATTTTAAAGGAGAAATTTATTCTATTTATTGTGATTTGTGAGGGTTTGTTTTACAGAATGATTAATTTAATTATTAAAAACATTACATATATTTCTCTCTTTTTGACTTGTGATTCTGGGGGATTCTTCTTAAGGGGAATCCTTCCCTTTGCTTTCAGAGGACAAAGTCCTATTCCCCTGAAGAAGAATGGGGGTATAATTATGATTGTGGCACTATAGTTGAACACATTTTATTAAAATGTTGAACCTTAACAGCATATAAGACAGAAGCCACAAAAGACATGTTGGGAACTGTGAATCATCGCTGTGAATCACCTATAAGTGGAAGAGGCTTGCATCACACCCAGGCTTGCACTTAATTACAGGGCTTCTCTAGATTTTCACACTGCTAAACATGTGCATGCACCATGCTTTTTAACACAGGAACTGTCTCCAGCACTGTGGGACTAGCATCCACCTTGGAAGGATTCAAAGAAGTAATTTGTGGAAGTCCAAGCCACTTAAAGATTAAAAGCATGTACAATGGCATGTGCTGCTACAATAATACTTTGTCCCTTAACAGGACTTAGCAAGGTTTTATAGGATCTTCTTTATAGGCTCTTCAGATGTACTGCTTAAATTTGAATCTCTTGCATCCTCTGAGAAGGCCAAGGCAGCTTTTTGAAGGGGTTGCATTTTCTTTCTTTCCAGCAACCTTCTGTGAGGAGGTTCACCTGAAAGAGAGTGGTCAGAAAATGGGCTTCATGGCTGAGCCAGGACTTGGAGTGTGTGAAGCTTCCATACCACAACTTGTCTCACCTTCCTTTTTCCAAAAGAAAAACACTGGCTGGCTAACAAAATACATATGAAAATACAAATTTGTTCCAGTAGGCTTTGCTCCCTATTGCCTTCTGCTAGCTGCAGACTGGCTAAGCCTCGAAGGCCAATAATAATAATAATAATAATAATAATAATAATAATAATAATAATAATAATGCAATTATTATTAATTGCATTTGTATACCACCCCAATAGCCCAGAGGGCTCTCTGGGTGGTTTACAGACATTAAAACCCCAAATGCAATATCTGGTGCACTGGTGAGAGCAGAACCATTGAAAAGAGTAATTTATACAGACTTTCTTTAACAAGGAGTGCAATCCATAGGATAGTGCTTTGAGGGGGTTTTTTCCCCATAACTACTGCATTTTGACTGTTGTCTCATTGATTCTGAGAACAGACTCTTTCCATCAATAGCAAATTTAAGTCAGTTCCATTCACTATAAATTACTGTCTTGAATCATTCCACCTGCCTAGAGCAGCCTTTCCCAACCTTGTGCCCTCTGGGCATGTTTGGATTGCAACAACCAGAATTCCACTCGATGGTCTTGCTGGATGAGAATTCTGGGAGTTGTGATCCAAATGTCTCTGAAGGCCACCAGGTTGGAGAAGTCTGGCCTAGAGAAATGCAGTGAATAGTGCAACCCCAGAATCAAACAGAACTGTTCTGTTGTTCACCCTTATCTGGTATGGAAAAATGCTTTAAGAAGTCCTCATCTTGCTTTCAATTGACATCTTTCTTGAATATGAAAAAACAAGAAGATGAAATAACCCCAGAAGTTGTCTTCTATCATCACTGTTCTTTAAACAAGCCCAAAAATGCAGCAGTATCTTCCACAGGTGGATGCCACAGAAGCTAGGTTCGTACCATTGAATTTCTTGACAACTGTAAGAAAGGAAAAGAGAACACAGGAAAGACTTGGGTGTATCTTGCTGTAAAGAGCAGCCTTCCTAATTTTATGGGCCTAGCTGTGTTGGCCTACAACTCTCACCATCCCCAGCCAGTGTGGGTCAGGAACACTGGGAGGCATAAGCTGAAACATCCAGAGGGCACCAGACTGGAAAAGGCTGGTGTAAAATCAGACTGATAGAAATTAGTCCCCCTTGTGGACTGTGCCCTGTCTCCATGCAATAAGCAGATTGAGATAAAGAGAAAAATGAAATGCATACGTGCCACCACTTGACTCCAGACCCCCTTTTCCAGGTTGGGTATTGCTAGAAATGTCCTTTTCTCATTGTCTGCAATCTCTGGTAAAGCTCTACAGCAAATTTGGAAGGGGGAACATTGCTCTCTTCTCAAAGGTTGCTGTGGTTCATGGAAGCCACTGAACCAATGTTTTGCCTCTTCCACATGTTTGCATGGGAGAAAAGTGATGCCTTAAGCTGCCCATTCCCAACTTCATGACCTCCAGATGTGTTGCACTACAGTTCTCAGCATCACCAGGCAGCATCCCTGTGGAGGCTGAAATTATGGGAGTTGTAGCCTAACACATCTGACACAGGGTGCCAAAGGTTGCTTTCCTCTTTCATTCGGTGCTGGAATAGACTGGGGTCATCTGTCTGGTTCAACTGCAGTAGGGCTGCAAAGTAAGAAATAGTGCAGTCAGGGAGGCTCCATCTGTGCTGATCAGACAGAAACCTCCTGGGTTGTGCAGGGTAAATTAGCTGAGCTTTATCGGCCAGAACACTGTCCCAGCTGTGGGGTGTGGCACTCAGTGACACAGGGAAGGAAGGAAGCCAAGCATTTTGTAACACAAGTTGTCAAGCAAAGTGGGGGACGGGAGCGAGCTGGGTGCAGCCCTAGACGTAAGCAAGGAGAGAAATGAAAGCACAAACAGCTGAGCCTGTTTTGCAACTTCAGTGTTTGACTCCTTGCCAAGTGCCCAGCATTGGCCAGGAAACCACGAGCAGTAGGGATTACCATCACTGCAGCTCTACAAGCAAGAAAGCCACTGTTTTTGCCTAAAGGCAAGGTGGTGTGTGCCTTGAGAGTGTATCGAAGGGTAGTCCCAGTGGATACATGTAGTAAAAGAGCCAGTGTGGTGTAATAGTAAAGAGCATGGGACTAGACTCAGGTTCTTGTCCCTGCTTGACCAAGGAACCAACTGGGTGGCTTTGGGCCAGTCACAGACTCTCAACCCAACCTACCTGATAGGGTTGTTGTTGTAGAGATATAATTGAGAGCAGCAGGAGGAGAATGTTGTAAGCTGCTTTGAGTTCCATGTAAGAAAAAAAAGTAGGATATAAAAAAAAAATTACAGGAGTTGCTCAGGATTTAAGTTCAGCTACAGGGTCTTTAGTTACATAGGCAACCAAAGCTCATATAATGCAGAATGGTAATCTTTAATTGAGGAGAGGGCAACTGTGGTCCTCCAGATGTTGTTGGATTACAACCCTATTAGCTCCAACCAGCATGCTAATAGTCAGGATTGACAGGAACTAGATTCCAATATTTAAGAATAAGCTCCACTTGACACAGTGAGAGCAGCTTTCCAGAAAAAAAATGCAGTGTTGTTGCTCTGTTAGATGCACAGGGGAGGTCCTCCAGATGTTTTGGCCTAGAAATCCCATCAGATCTAGTCAGAACAGCCAATAGCAAAGGATGAGGGGACCTGAAGGTCAAAAGATGGAAGGCCACAAGTTGCCTACCCCTATGTTAAGAGAAACATTCAAATTGTTATTAGAAATGCAATCCTATGCATGCTTATATGGAAGTAGTTTCTCCTGTAGGATTTACTTCTGAGTGGACGTGGATAAGATTGTGTTACAAATCACAAGGTAGCCTTGTAAGTTTGCCAGACCTTTCCTGTCCCCACATCTCAAAAGAGTCTGTGTGATTTCTAGCAACATTGCTTTTCTTCCATTTTTTACCCACCCTTTCCTAGGACCAGGCAAGAGGTAGCCCTGTTGCAACAGAAACAAGCAAGAAGCTTGAGCGCTATAAAGGCTTATACAGTAGTAGAATTTCAAAGGTAGTAGAGTTGAAAGGGGCCTATGAGGCCATCAAGTCCAACTTCTGGCTGCAAGCCCATGCCCTTCCAGCTTAGCAAAAGTGATTCAACACAATAGTACAATATTTTGCTATGTGGGCAGGCATTACTGTGGCATATTTTTTCCAGGACTATATTTCATTTCATCAAAACCATAGTACACTTTCTTTTTTCTTTTGATGGCCCTATATAGCCCAAGGGTTGTAAGAAAAATGCTAAATTGTGGGGTCAGATAATGATTATCTGCAAAAACAAAACAAAACCTGCCAACGGAGGATAAAGCAGCTGATGGACTATACTTAAGGAAAGCTTATTTCATCCTACATTCTAGTTCGAGTTCAGGCAGGGATGCCAAGGTGTTAAAACTAGAAAGTCTTGTAGTAAAGTTTTCCCATTTAAGAGACCACAAAACGTCTTTATTTTAGCTCTTTGGCGCTCCAGATTGTACCAGGGCATTCAAGCAATGGCCTGTTGGCACGAGTTCTGGGCGTGTTAGTTCAGATTCCAATTCACTTTACTGCCTGTGCGTACATAGATAAATCGGCGCGACAATAACACAGCGTACGGCCACGGGAGTCGCTATCGACAGCTGCAGCCTCTGCAGCGCCGAGAAGGAAGAGGAGGCCGCTTTTCTCCCAATTTATTCCGGGGACATGAGCGCGGCCCTTCGCTTTCACGTGACTGCTGACCCGGCAGTGAACCGCGTTGCTGCGCTGGAGTGTGGCGTGCGGAGCAATGTCTGCGGAGCAGGAATGGCGGATTAATACAGCTTTCGCTGCGCGTTACGCACAGTACCGACGACGCGAGGAGCTGCAGCGGCGTGAGTGATGGAGAGGGTGGCTGGGCCGCGCTCCCTTTTCTGGGGAAGACTGTTGATTAGAATATGCGCATCATTTGTAGCTTCTTTCATGCCCGACACCATTCATTTCTCTCTCCCCGCCCCACAGTGCAGGATCGGTATGGGGGTACAGGTGATGATGAGTCGAGTTCCGAAACGGAGTCTAGTGAGGAGGAGGAGGAGGAGGTGAGTAGAAAAAAAAGTCTTAGTTCTTTTCCCAGATATGAATTGATTTAGACTCCTAGATAAGCTCACCCCCACCCGATATAATATCTGAGGATTTGTGGCTCGTCTATCCTTCCCTAGGAGCTAGGAGTAGGAGACTGTGATTAAATAGGACCGGATGGGATTTTCCCACCGTGATGCCCGACAGCTCCCACCACTCCTAACTATTGGCTTTACTTGCAAGTGCTGATGGGAGTTATAGTCCAAACACCTGGAGGGCATGAGTGTAAAGAAGATTGCTAGATTGAAGCCGAGTAGCATTCCCCTCTGGGGTTGTGCTACCTGGGGGTGTTTAGGTGGTGGGAGCTCAGAGATTGGGAGGCTGGTCTCCTTTGTCCTTTTCTCTTGCCCGGTGGTAATGCAAGATCGCTTGGGTTTTGTTTTCCCCAGGCCAGAGGGAAAACAGATACTTCTAACTGATTGCATTTTCCAGTGGAAGTCTTGCCTAAGTTTATGGTTGTTTCTAATGTGGCAGGAAGTTGACCCCAAACTGGATCGTGCTTTTTACTGCACACTAGCCATGTTGAAAACCAAGGACCCCCGGATATATCAGAACGATGTCACATTCTACAGTGAGGAAGGTAAGTGCTAGTCCTGTATATATGACAAATTGTTAACTCATACTAACTGATGTTCTTGCCTGGGATATGAATATGTCTGATGATGTCCTAATATAAGTTGGATTATGATTGCTCTTGAATTGCCAGGTGATCAGTTATTACTGGTAGTCCCTCAATTAAGAATGAGTTGTGTTCCTGAGAACATCCTTAAACTGAATTTGTGTGTCACTTGGGTCAGTATCTGTCTTAGTATCTGTATATATTTTACCTTCGTGTGCATATGAAACACCTAAAAACACTTCCATATTCACTACAAGTAACTACAGTTACTGAAGAGAGAGAGGGAATCTGCATGTATGTGTGTAGGTATACAATATTGTAAAAACGAAACAATTCTTAAAACATTTCAGAACATTCTTGAGGTAACATTAAGCCTAGCGTTAACAGAGGACGATGAGGATGATGGAGATGGCCCTAGTGCTTGGAGAGTCAGGGTTTGATTGTGCTGCTGGAGGTGGGTGGGGTTAGCACTTGAGTTACTTTCTTGAGGCAGACCTAAAGGGTACAGCCATTTTCTTTTTCTCATCATAAATGGCCTTGTACCAGCTGAGGCCCTGGTTACAAGGGCAGATGCTGAAGAAAAAACCAAAGGGGAACTATGGAACCTACATGAGCATACCCAGGCCAATGTGTTTTGGGGCACAAGCCAAAATCACTGAATGAAAAGCCATGAATACTGTATCTCTAGGGAACTACATGGCCACTGATTATGCCTCTCTAAACACGTTGCATAGTTCTCCAGAGATATTTACAGCTTTTTGCTAGGGATATTTATATAGGGTTTATGGCCGTCTGTGTATTCATAAGTATGGGTTGTTTGCAACTTGGGGACTATGTATTTACTTTACTTTTCCCCCAGATTCTTCATCAACCAGTGACACTGAGAAGCAACCAGCAAGGAAGAGGAAAAAGCCCATGTTTTTGAAGGATTATGAGAGGAAGGTCATATTGGAGAAGGCAGGGTAAGGCAAGAAAAATCAGAGTATCTGCTGCATTCTATGTTTCTATGTTATGCTAAGATGGGATTCTTTAAGAATGAAAGTAATCTCTGCTGAAATCATTGTCTGTTCAGTGTGGGAACATGTGCTCCCCAAACAGAGGATTGGGGAGCACATGTGCTTGCTGCTTTGCTTGGACTCATTCAGACCAATCCATCTAGCTGTAAACCATGATCTAGTGCTGTGTGTGAATCATTGCATTCTCATTTTCTGCACCGTGTTGGTGTCTCTTTAGCATCTCTAACTTCTGAAGACAGGTGTTGTTTTGAACTAGCACTGTCAGTTAAAGACAATTTATGAGCCTCCTGTGTTTTGACCTACACTTCTCATCATCTCAATCTTGGCTAAGACTGATGGGAAGTGTAGGTCAAAACTTCTGGAGTGCCACAAATTGTAATAGGTAATCTCTACATAGGGCATAGTCCAATATGTGTAAGCCTCCAAATACCTCTCTAATGCAGGGAGTATTTGTACACTTGACCTTAATTTGTGCATATTGTTTTCACAATAGCAAGTTTTGTGTAGTGCTTTGCATTTGCTGGGATGGAGAAAGAATACTGAATTTCATAAAAGTGTATAGCAACAGAGGCAGTGGGTTAGGAGAAGGAACTGAGTGTTACACTGTGATTCACAAGATATTCCACAGCTTGTTTTTACTACCTCTGTATTTGGTTAGGTCTTTTCATTTTCTTATAAGAAAATGCAAATCTATGATAATTTGAACTCTGCTGTCACTGCAGCTGCACAAGTTTTTAGATCACTCTAGATAGTACTTTAACATTAGACTTTAATTTTTCTGTCCACTCATGTATTACTGTTACTGTACTAGTTGCTATTCAATTAAATTGGGAATGGATATCTGAATTCCAAGGTTATATGGATGGCCTTTCAAGTATTCAAAGTTTACTATATTTATATCTTTCACCTAATTCAGATTGGTAAGATGATGTGTTTGTGTATTTTGGATCTGGAGATAATGCTTGTACGTGTTGACAGCAGTATCTATGGAAAATTGAAATAAAATGTGGGAAGGGGTGCCCAAAAATATCTGCATTCATTGTGCAAATTAAGTGGCAGCCCATTACCTTTTACTGTTGGCATCTTCTTCACTGCTTGTGTAGTAGTGGCCAGGATGGATTCTGATTCATTAAGGTTAGGATGGATCAGAAGTCTAAATGTATCATAGACTGACAACTTGAAAGGCACAACAAACACTTCTGAAACAGTTCTGAGTACTAAATCTGACAGCTGCAGAGATGTACATTTCCAGGAAATTTTGAAATCATGGGGTGTTTCAGAATGTATTCTACTGTTTGATGAGGTTGGGGAACATTTTGGGGAAAATGAATATATGTAATTCCTCACAAATGGCAGCACATACCTCATCAAGCCCCTGCAGCTGGAAACCACAGCTTTGTGGAGCACCTGTCTGCTCATTTGAGCACTTGGTAGCTCTGCAGTTGCTACTCCCTGTCGTCCTCCTCAGAGTGCACTTTCCTTTGCTCAGCCACCCCACTGCTTCCATGCCCATCTCCTGGCCAATCACCCATCTCCCCACCTCCTGGCTGGGGCACCAACCTCATCTGTCTGGCTTATCCAGCAGCACCACACCATCACCTTGCAAGCATCTGCAGACTCTCTTGTACTGTCCCTGCCCTTCAAAGAGTTCTTAAGGCGATAGCTTCCATATGAGCTGGGTAGCTCAGCAATTGGCCAGGCAGCATATGAGGTGGGCGGGCAGGTTGGCAACCTGGGCAGGGGGCGGGCAGGCAGATAGGCAGGCAACATTGCTAGACAGCAGGTACTGGCTAAAGTGGGGAAACCACAGAAAAAGATTGTAACCAGCTTTACACATAACAGGAAACAATATGGAAATATCTAACTGCTAGTTCATCATGTTGATTCAAGGAAACATGCCAGGTTTCACCATGCCATGGCTTGTCATTATGTGTGAATACAGCCCCAGGTAAGGAATTCACATAATTGCCATGCCTTATTTCAGCTATAGCACCCAGAAGTGCTGTCCTGAGTAATTAAGCTGCACTTTGTCTTGCCATCAGAATCCAGGAATAGTAGATTAAACAACTCGATTAGAACTCATGGCCTGTTTATGCAAGGGTTTTTAAAAACCTTCTTACCCCATAATTACCACGTGCAGAAGATAGGACAAGCTGCAGTAACAGCTTGACTATTCAAAATGGCCAACATTGGCTATAACCTATCATGCTTAAATGAGCCACAGTGGGCTGTTTAATCATGTGAACTAGCCCATTATTGGGGTTTACTTTCAGGTAACTTCACTCTTACCTTTCAGTACATCTGGCCAGGGCGACTTCTTTTATATTTTTATTTATTTTATATTGTTAATTTTAATTTTATATTGTTATTTTTGTATTTTATTGTATTTTATTGTGTTTGTAAGCTGCTTCGGCAAGGGGCGGCATAGAAATGTTCCAATAATAGTAATAATAGTAATAATAATAATAATAATCTGCAGAGTTATAGTGCCTTGCAGAAGTATTCAACCACTTCTGCAACCACATTTGGTTGTGTTACAATCTGGAATTGAAATGTATTTAACTGACATTGTTAGCACTTGATGTACACAAGATACTCAAATGTGAAGGTGTAAAATGTTTTTTTTTTTTAAATTGAGGCACAAAACTTAAGTAAAAATAACAATGAACTGACACTTGTTGGTTTTATGAGTATTTATTCCCTTTTCTGTGACATGCCTAAATAAACTCTGGCACAACTCACTACCTCCAGAAGTCACATACTTACAGTATGCAATTGAATGGAGTCCACCTATGCACAATTCCAGTGCCAGGTGATTTCAGATTAACATTGCAATGGTTTCTGGAAGGCATGAGAGTTTCTTAGAGAACAAATCTAAACAAACAGCAACATGAAGACCAAGAATCAGTCAAAACAACTCCAAAGGTACCACTCAAGTTTGGATTATTAAAATATCCCAAACTATAAACATCCCTTAAGACACCATTAAATCCATTATTACAAAATATGGCTCAGTTGTGACTCTGCATACAGCAGGTCATCCACCAAGACTCAGTGACCTGGTAAGGAGGACATTAATCAGAGAAGCAGCCAAGAAGCCAATGGTAAATTTAAAGAAGTTGGAAAGATTCAAAGCTGAGATGGGAGAAGCCATCCATGGCACAGCTATCACCTGGACACTCCACAAAGCTGGATTCTATCAAAGAGTGTCAAGAGGAAAGCCATTGCTGAAACAAACCCATATCAAAGTCTGTTTAGGATTTGCAGAAAGGCATGCTAGAGGGACATGCAGGAAAAGCTTCTCTGGTCTGGTGAGACCAAGATTAAACTTGTCCTTGGTGCAAAATGCTGTGTGTGGTAGAAAGCCAACAGTGCTTATTGCCCTGAGAATACCATCCATAAAGTAAAGCATCACACTGTGGGGACACTTTTCCTTGGCAGGCACTGGGAAACTGATTGGGATTGAGGGCAAGATGGATAGAACAAAGCATAGGACAATTTCAGAGAAGCACCTGTTTCAGTTTGTAAAGGATCTGGAACTTGGCCAGAAGTTAATAATATAACATATTTTTAATAGCAGCAACCTTGTGTACCATTTGTTGGTAATACTAGTTTCTTTGGGAGCTTTTTAATGGAGAGAGCAATTGTGTACTGTTTGGCAAATGTTGTAAAGATTTGCAGGGGGAAGTGGCCCTAATCAGTCCTGAGCTGGTTGGAGGAAACATGATACAGAGCAAATAAATGAACAAATTGATACCAAATATTAGTTGCCTAGAGGCTTTTTTACAGTGTAACACTATGCATACCTCCTGAAAGTAGGGTCTCACTGAGTTCATTGGGGCCTGTGCCCACGTGAGTAAGTACAGGATTGCAGCTTTCAAGTTTCATGGTAGCATTTTATATTGCTAAAATGGAATGGCTGGGCTGTTGTAAGACTTTTGTGGAAATGTGTAGGGTTTTGCCCTAGCTAAACTTGATTTAGAATTTTAAAAAGTACAGGTAGAGTGTTCATATCATGGGGAAGGAGTTGTTGAGGAAGCTTATGGTGAGAATGGGCACTGGTCACATTTTAAATAACAATATTGTGTAGGTTTATTATTTGTTGTTAATGCTGATTTTGTGTTGTGAGCCGTCCCGAGGCTGTGTAGCAATGGGGATGGCATATAAAAACTTTAAATAAAAACTTTAAATAAATAAAGTTCACATTCCAACAAGACAGTGACCTTAAATGCACAAGCGGAATAAAACTGGAACAGTTTAAAAAGAAGAATCGGAATGTCTTGGAGTGGCCCAGTAAAAGCCCAGACTTCAGACCATTTGAAGATCTGTGACAAGACTTGAAAATTGCAATTCACCAACTGCTCCCATTGTACCTGACACAACTGGAGCCATTTTTGCTAGGAAGAATGAGGAAACCTTGCAGGGTCCAGCATTGTAAGGCTGATAAATATATACCCAAGTAGACACACAGCTGTAGTTCTTGCCAAACTGCTTCTCACTAAGTAGTGTCGCAGGGAAGTGAATACTGATACAACCAACAAGTGCCAATTTGTTTTTGTTTACTTTTGTGACACAATAAAAAATACTTTGCATCCTCACAGAGTTGTAAAAACCCTTTCAGAAATCCAGCTCTCTTTTGTTCATTGAACTTGTTCTTGTATTATGGCCTTGGCTTAGAAAGTGAGTCAAGCAAGAGATAGTTGTACAATTGGCAATTTCTTTCACAGCATGTGCAGCACAAACAAAGACCACGGATCGTGTGTGTGGAAAAGGAACACCATTTGTGTAGAGTTCACTCAGGCTCACTTCCTGGCAGGAATTCAAATGCTGTATGCCAAATCAGACTCATGGCTACAAGAAAGCAGGCTGGAGTCCAGGGAACCAAGCTAAAGGAATCCAATAGATTCCCACCCTCAAAACAGATACCTTACACATTGTTATTCAGT